GGGGGGAGGGGGTCTACCGGGGGGGGACCTGGTACAAGGAAGAGCGGTGGCGGGGGGAGGGACGGAGTGCGGTAGGGGAAGAGGCGGTAGTAGGGGACCGACTCGTCGAACGTGACGTCCTGGGAGGACAGAACACGGCGAGAGGTGGGGTGGTAGAACTGCCACCCTGGGGCGTCAGGGGGGAAACCCAGGAAGACGCAAGGAGCAGCACGAGGGGACAGCTTGTCCGCAGACAAGTCGCGGACAAACGCCCGAGATCCCCAGACACGGAACGCAGACGCATCGCCAACCTTCCCCGTCCACAGTAAGGCTGGGGAGGTCTCCGGCATGGAGACCCTGGGCTGAAGGTTGATCTGATGCGCTGCGTACCGAACCGCAAACGGCCACAGAAAATGGGGGGCAGCCGCATGCATCATGGACGTTCGGGCGACGTCCATGACCATGCCAATGCGGCGCTCAGCAATCCCATTTTGCTGTGGAGAGTCCGGAAGCGTGAAGGTCTGGCGGATGCCTCGTGCACGACAGTAGGCTCGCAGAAGGCCAGAGGAGAACTCTCCGCCTCTGTCAGAGTGCAGACGCAGAACAGGAAAGTCCGAGCCGAAGCTCCGCCTGAGCTGGAGACGAGCTGCGCGGATCCAGTCGATCAACACCTCAGTGACATCACCCTTGCTGCGCAAGGGGAAGACTGTGGTGTAACGCGAGTAGTCGTCAACCACCAGCAGGAAGTAGCGCTCGTGACCCTGTCCACGGACGCGGGCCGGGCCCCACACGTCCATGTGAAGCGTCTGCAGCGGGGCCTCTGTCGGAGGAAACTGGGAGGAGTGAGGGGCAGCCCGCTGCCGCCCCTCGACACAGGGGACGCAGGTAGGGCCAGGCCCCGGAGGAAGGGGAGGGAGGGACCGGGGAAGACCAGAGACAAGGACACGGGAGGCCATGCCTCGGAGACGAAGCAGGGAGGGGTGACCAAGGCGGTGGTGCCAGAGGAGAGTCTCGTGAGACAGGAGGCGACACGAACAGGGGGCAGACTCAGGACCAGACCTGGACGCTGCAGCAAACACCTGACCCGACGCAGCTACCTGACCAGACGCAGTGACTGGAGGAGACTCAGTGGTCAGGGTGTACAGGCTCGACCCCGGCCGACGGGTAAACGTGGCCAGGTGTCGGCCTGTCCGAGCGTCCGTGCAGTGGGTCACCCGCTGACTCGCAGGAGTGAACTGGTGAACCCCCGCATCCTGTAGGTCAGCACCACTCACCAAGTTCGTAGAGAACGAGGGAAGGTAAAGACCAGACAGGGTGCCAGAGGGGGCCGCCGGACACGGGAGGACAGTGGAGAAGTGAGCAAGGACAGGACCCCCAGAGGGGTCAGCCAGAGAGACTGCAACTGGCCGGCCAAGCGGCGTGAGTGTGGTGCGGTCTCGAAAGAAGGAGCGAGAAGCCCCCGAGTCAAGGGTGAAGGTGTGGGAGGCCGAAGCCGACGCAGAACCTGAGAGAGCAGACTCACCAGCACCTGAGGGAGCAGACGCACCTAGAGCAGCAGCCTCGCTAGCACCTAGAGCAGCAGCCTCACCAGTATCTAGAGCAGCAGTCTCAATGCCCGGGTCGGGCGGAAAACACCGGTAACAGTCACCCTCATCACTAATAGTCACAGTATACATGGCAGCAAGAATAGCATCAAAGTCAAGGTCAAAGACAGCTACACCCACCCTAGACAGCTCACCCCAGCGGGGGATCTCAGTGGCCTCAGGGAACTGGTGACGCCAAGCGTCCGTCAGGCGGCCAAAGCAGCGCTGGGTGGAGTGCGCACCCCCGCACTGCTCACCCGCGCGGTCGCCGGTGCGTAGGACGTAGGTGCACGGGCCAGTACCCCCACCCCTCTGGCGTGCAGTGTACCACTCACGGAGCTGCTGAGGGGAGGGGATGTCACGAGTGCGCTGCTGCTGCTGCTGCTGCTGGCGCTGACCACCACCGGAGCCGCCCCTCTGTGCAGCGCCACCCCGACCAGCTCCACCTCCTCCGCCGCCTCCTCCTCCACCGCCGCCACCTCCGCTCCCACCGCCACCGCCACCGCCGCCTCCGCCTCCACTGCCGCCACCGACACCTCCGCCCCCGCCACCACTCCCACCACCACCCCCACCCCCTCCACCGCCTCCACCGCCGCCTCCACCGCCCCCGCTAGCTCCTCCAGTGCCCCTGCCCCCCTTGCCCTTGCCAGGGCGACGTCTCCCGCTAGGGGTAGACGCCGCACCGACCGACTCAAGCCCAACGAGGTCGGCCGCAGCAGCAGAGGCAACAGAGGGCAAAAGGGGGGAGGGGGAACACCCCTCAAAGGTGGGGGTGCGAGGGTCACCACGAGAGGCTCCTACAGCGACTATGCTCTTCTCTGCTGCTAGGAGGGACTTCTCGAGGAGGTCAACGGTGAGAGTGGTGGGGCAAACGGAGAGGAAGTGGTCCCTGACTACGCGAAGGGAGTCAGGGAGCCGGGTGACTATGTAGTAGAGGGTGATGTACATGGGGGGGGGGTTCTTGGCGCAGAACTCAGTAGGAAGCGCAGCGCGGTAGCGAGTGTCACTAGTGCGGAGGTGCGTAATGAGGTCAGCGACTGTGGGAAAGGCAGCAAGGTCAGGGAAGAGGTACGGTAGCATGAGGCGGCTCAGTGCAGCAGTGGCAGGGGAGGAGTAGCGCGCAACTACAGCGTCGTACAAGGTCTGAGCACTCTTGTACTGGCTAAAGTGCGCACGCTCAGAGGTAGGCAGGTGGCGACGCACAGCAAGACGTGCAGCAGCATCGCGAGTGGCCCACTGTGAGCGAACAGTGGCGTCGGCATCAGCAGCAGGGGCAGGAGAGGCACCAGAGGTGAGGTCAAAGAGGGAGAGACCGTCTGCCCTATCGCACTGTAGGAAAAGCTGCAGGTCATCTACCCAGACGTCAAAGTCAATGGCCCGACCCTCAGCGTCAAAGGCGAGGACACTAGGGGTAGCCATGACAGCAGTAGACTAGCAGCGCGAACAGTAGGGTGAGGGCAGTGCAGGGACAGAGGCGCTGCACTTACCGGACAGGGCGACTCGGGTGGCTCAGCGGCTCGGCGGCTCGGCAACTCGGCGGCTCGGGCGGCTCGGGCGGCTCGGCGGTACGGCGGCTCGGCAGCAAGCGCGGCTCGGCGACACGGCGGCTCGGGCGGCTCGGGCGGTACGGCGGCTCGGGCGGTACGGCGGCTCGGCGGTACGGGCGGCTCAGGTGGCGCGGCGAGGCCGCGTGGGGAGCGGCGGCGGGGCCGAGTGGAGCGGCGTCGGCGGGTGTAGTCAGCTGCGGCAGCAGCCGCGGCCCCGAGGGAGGTGGTGGCGGCTGCTGCTGGCGACGGCTGCGGCTGCTGCTGCAGGGACGGCGGCGGCCGCTGCGGTAGGGGCGGCGACAGTGGGCCGGAGAGGGCGGTGCGAGGGGCCGCGGGAGGGGCCGTAAGGGGCGTAAGGGGCCGCGCGAGGGGCCGGAAGGGACGGCGCGAGGGGCCGCGACGCGAGGAGCCGCGGAGGGCGGCGACGGGCCGTGAAGGGGCGGCGCAAGGGGCCGCGGAGGGCGGCGACGGGCCGTGAAGGGGCGGCGCGAGGGGCCTCGGAGGGCGGCGACGGGCCGTAGGGGGGGGGGGGGCCGTGAGGGGCCGCGGGAGGGGTCGTAAGGGACGGCGCGAGGGGCCGTAAGGGGCCGTAAGGGGCCGCTAAGGGCGGTGCGAGGGGCCGACGGGCGGCGCGAGGGGCCGTAAGGGGCCGTAAGGGGCCGCGCGAGGGGCCGTAAGGGGCCGTAAGGGGCCGACGGGCGGCACGAGGGGCCGTAAGGGGCCGTAAGGGGCCGCGCTAGGGGCCGTAAGGGGCCGTAAGGGGCCGCGCTAGGGGCCGTAAGGGACGGCGCGAGGGGCCGTAAGGGGCTGCTAAGGGCGACGCGAGGGGCCGTGAGGGGTCGTGAGAGGGCGCGACTGTGGGAGCGAAGCGCGCTCCGGGCAGGAAAAAAAAAATTCGTGGTGGGCCCTAGGAAGCGTTCCCACTAGGGAACCTGCTCGATACCATGAGAAGAAACGAGGAATGAATGAACTATGAATGAATTGGGTACAAGTACTAACCCTAATTGGGTTGTACCCCTTATGGGCTACCCCACTATAGCCTACACAATATGCATGAGCTATAATGTTCTGACAATGGTCCACTTCAAGACCTTTCCATTCCCCCCTGCACTGTAATCGTCTCCCACTCACGATACATATTCTCTTACGTATCTGATTGCAGAATCCCTATGGTTCCACCCTTCCATTTGGGTCTACTGGCCTTTTGTGGCAAGAATGTACAAAAAAAACAAATTCGTGCAGTCGGGTGCACTTTATCCCCTACTCAAACGGACTGATTCGTGCACTGGGTTTCATCTGCCTTCACTATCTTTACCATGGGAGAGAAATGTGATGTAAGTGGGTAATAGTAAAAAAGGTTGTTAAAATTGAAGAAATATACGATGAAGGACGGATACCGGTTCTTGTAGTGCGTTACCAACGGCTGCGATTGAAATGAGGAATGAAAAGAACGCCCTGCAAGCTGGGTGCCGTTGCATTCGCTTAATTGCAAAGGTTAAGAGCACAGGGAGATAAATAGGCAAATTTACATGATCATGCTGGGCATATAGTGTATGCGAGCGCTCTTACACAGCCGAATGTGCTAGCACAGCAACAAACGTTGTCCTCTGTCTCGTGTTGTGGAACACCTGTACAGTTGGACTTACACGTCAACTAGTTCAACTGTGTATGGTATACATGTGTTTGCCATCCCTGGTCCAGTTGGATGGCATTTCTTTTCGTCTCGACCGTTTTGTCGTACCTCACACTTGTACATCTTCAAGCAGACTGTTCAAAAGAAAATATTGTTATTTTTATCAAAGCTTTAGGGAGATCAAGCGATGTACCACGGAAAGGTTCAGGGGGCAGCTGGAAAGAGAGAGGAACGGCTTCAACCGAAATTGAAGCTCCAATGACTGCACTCTGTCACGTGTATTGTCCACTGCAGCACTTCCGCGAGTTCACCGCGTTATTCATCATTTTGGTCCAGCCAGGAGCTCCATTGCTTGTTAAGAGCAGCCCAAGCCCTTCATGAAGTACTCGCAGAGCTTGCATTTATTCTCACTGCGTCGTGCGTAGCCTTTCTAAGAGATTTCTCCTCCTCCTAAACCCTTCAGTGGTTTGTGCCGTAGCATTGCTATCCCAGATCCAAACACGCGCTACTTCTAAAGCAGACCATTTGACACTGGCGGTAGAAGAACAAATGGTCGCCATGGCGACCCCCAAGCATTTCGTTGCATTAGTCATGCTCACAGTGCTGTTCAGCCACCTAGACGGCGTCGCTAGTAGCGTCGTCATGAAGGCCGATCAAGGTGAGGAGCCCCAGCCATGCATTTCGTATCCTCACCCGTGTTTTGTAGTAACTCGCCAAGTCAAATTCACACCTCGAGCGACGGGAGTGTTACATTTCCCAGCGCTTAATTCTCTCCACCGTTCACATAGAAACACTTCTCCAAGAAGTCAAAATTGACAGTCCAGGATGTGTTCTCGAGATTCTTTTAGGATGCAGTCTCTCCTCCTATCCGGAAGTATTCTATAGGCTCTTTTGAGACCTCAATGTGTCCCACATGTGACCTAGTAGCAGTATCCTACAAAAAGACACATCGAGGACCAAGTAACTTTCAGGACAGAATCAGGAATGTACATTTCAGGAGAGTCCCTGTGTAGTACGCCGCTCGAGCTTGTCGTGCTTGCAAGCAAGCGTAGAAGCTCATCCTTCCCTTATCTCCCCCCTCACCTTCCCCGCTCCGTTTCCTCAGTCCCGCCTCCCATCCCGTCTGCGCCCATCAGCGGCGGCCCTGCTGAACGTCAAGTCGGCCTTGGGGCTCACCAACACCTCGTGGGCCACCACACCAATCCCTGCCGTGTCGACGGCGTTCTCCAAAAAGTGGCGAGGGAAAGCTCATTTCTTTCTCGTATCTCCCCTCGTTCCTTTTCCTCACTGCCCCTTCTCAGCGGCGGCCCTGCTCAACATGGCCATGGGACTCACATACGCCACGTGGGCCACCACCAATGTGTTCTCTGTCTCGTCCGCCTCCGCTTTCCCCTGCCTGCCCTCCCCCATCCGCCCATCAGCGACCGCCCTGCTGAACACCAAGGCGGCCATGGGGCTCAAATACACCACGTGGGTCGCCGCCACCACGTGGGCTCACCAACACCACGTGGGCCACCACCAATCCCTGCCGTGTCGACGGCGTTTCTCCAAACAGTGGCGCCGAAGAAAAGCTCATCATTCTTTCTCGTATCTCTCCTCCCTTCCTTTTCCTCACTCCCCATCTTCAGCGACCGCCATGCTGAACATCAAGTCGACTATGGGGCTCACATACACCACGTGGGTCGCCACCAACCCCTGCACTCTTAACGGCGCCACTTCAGCCGCTGGCGAGTGGGACCGCGTGACCTGCACTGCTGACGGCCTTGCCTACTCGATGTGAGTGCAGGCGGCACCGCAGGTGCAACGCCTGCTCAGGACTCACGTGAAGGGTTAAAAGATATCATCCGCGTTACCGTCTCTGAATAACCCCAGTTTCAGCCTGGCGGTCTAGGGCAACGGACGTTATTATAGCATGTGTGAGTGTGAGTGTAGGCGGCACGGCAGGTGCAACGCCTGCTCGGGACTCACATGAAGGGCTAAAAGATATCATCCGAGCCGCCGCCTCTGAATAACCACAGTTGTAGCCTGGCGGTATAGGGCACGGGGCGTTATAGCAGGTATGAGCGTGAGTGTAAGTGCAGGCAGCAGAGAAGTGTAGCGGCAGTTCATCTAAGCTGCCTCTCATGCGCTGCCTCACCTTTCCCTTGCGTCGCTGCATGCTGCCTCTCATGCACTGCATCCCCTCACCGTTTCTCTCTCGTGTGTGTGTGTGTGTGTGTGTGTGTGTGTGTGTGTGTGTGTGTGTGTGTGTGTGTCTGCGCGCAGAAACCTGGACTCCGCAGGACTCCAGCGCAAGAGCTTCCCCGCAGACATCTCCAAGCTCACGGGGCTTGGCGCGGTGTAAGTGCTCTCTACGCTTGCCTCTCCTCTGCGCGTGCCTCTCCTCTGCGCGTGCCTCTCCTCTGCGCGTGCCTCTCCTCTGCAATGCTCTGCTGCACGCAACGCTGCCAGCCATGGATGCATGCTGCCCCCAACCGCATGTGGTGGTGTTGACCAACGGCCCCTTGTCCGTGCTGCGTGCAGGTGGATGCCGTGGAACTACCTGGATGGCAGCCTCTCAGAATACCTCAAATACTTCTCTGCGCTCACCAACTTGAATCAACTGTGAGTGTCGCCGGGTTCATGTGAGTCTCTTCCCACGGATGTCCTTCCGTGGATGTCCCATGCTGAGTACCAGCTCGGAAACACAGACTAGGTAACTGTTGGATTTGAGGGCGGCAGCTCAGGCCACATGATGGTGTTAACGCCTTAACTCTTTCCGATGTGCCTGTGTGTGTGTGTGTGTGTGTGTGTGTGTGTGTGTGTGTGTGTGTGTGTGTGCGTGTGCGTGCGTGTGTGCGTGCCTGTGTGCATGTGCGTGTGTGTGCATGCGTGTGCGTGCGTGTGTGCGTGCCTGTGTGCATGTGCGTGTGTGTGCTCCTCGTCCCTGGGTGTCCCTGATGTCTCTCGTCCGCCAGGGCCATGTAGTACATGTTCTTCTCCGGGACATTCCCCAGCCTGCTCACCTCTCTGCCCAGCCTCACCAGCCTGTAAGTATCGAGTGAACACACATTTTCTGTCTGTAAAGATCTCGGGCACAAGAGCAGCGCTGTGCAATCAAGGAGGAACACGTCAGTGACAGAGCAGTGCTTTTGTTGTCGTTGTTGTTGTTGGTTTTGTTTTGTTTTTGTTTTTGTTTAGCATGCAGAGAGCAATCCATCCACACTCTATCCAATCAACTCTTCCCAACAACGCGTGCTACCCTGCCTCATAGGTCGCTGCGCTTCAACTACCTGACGGGCTCGCTGCCAACGAGCATCACAAAGTTCAAGTCGCTGGACATCTATCAGAACTACTTCGTCGGCTCCATTCCCTCAGGCACCTGGTCCTACTGCGACGCCGGAAATAACTGCCTCACCAGCGTGGGCAACTGCCAGAGCTACTTCCAGAGGTCCTCGTGCGCTATTTGCGGCAGCACTGCCGGCACCGGCACTCTGTGCGCAGCGGGGCAAGCGTGTGTGCCGAGCTCTGATGCGAAGATTGCAGCGCGTCAGAACAACTATAATGGCGAAGTGGCCCTGTCGTGCGTTGTCCAGCCCATCACCATGAACTCTGCTGACGGTCAGTGGCGCCTCCCTTCCTTCTCGTTCCCAATCGCACGCGCCTGACATGAACACGCTCGCTTTCTGCCCCTCCTCTGTCCTCCGCGCACATATTCACTTCTCTGTGTGCACATATTCACTTCCCTGTGCGCACATATTCACTTCTCTGTGCGCACATGTTCACTTCCCTGTGCGCACATATTCACTTCCCTATGCTCACATATTCACTTCCCTGTGCTCACATATTCACTTCCCTGTACCATTTTCCCAAGTGAACCCTTCCCTCCCCTCCGATTCCATCTCTCACCCCCCTTCCATTCCCTTTCCTCCCCCATCCGCCCATCAGCGGCGGCCATGCTGAGCATCAAGGCAGGCATGGGTCTCACGTTTGAGATTTCTTAAATGCAATTCCAGCCAGTGCAGCCATGGGACTCACCAAAGTGTCCTTTCCTCGTTGTTCCCTGTCTCGTGCGCCTCCGCTTTCCCCTGCCTGCCCTCCCCTACCCGCCCATCAGCTGCGGCCCTGCTGAGCATCAAGTCGGCTATGGGGCTCACATACACCACGTGGGCCGCCACCAATCCGTGCACTCTTGACGGCACTACTGGCAAAGCAGGCGAATGGGAGCGCGTGAGCTGCACGGCTTTCGGCCGCGCATACGTGATGTGAGTGCAGGAGGCCAGGGAGGGTGAGTGTTAGGGCAGGCGGCAAGGGAGGGTGTGTGTGAGTGCAGGCGGCCAGGTAGGGTGTGTGTAGGCGCAAGGTATCGTGACCGAGTGGCCTAGGGCACAGGGTATTATATAGGCGTGCGGCATTTAGGCAGGAACGTTATAGGTGTGGGTGCAGGCGGCAAGGCCACAAGTCCAGTTAAACGGCCTCTCATGCGCTGCCCCACCGTTCCTTTGTCTCCCTCTCATGCACAATGCGCTGCCCCACCGTTCCTCTGTCTCCCGGCATGTGTGTGTGTGCGCGCAGAAACCTGGACTCCGCAGGACTCCAGCGCAAGAGCTTCCCCGCAGACATCTCCAAGCTCACGGGGCTTGGCTCGGTGTAAGTGCTCTCTGCGCGTGCCTCTCCTTTGTGCGTGCCTCTCCTCTGCGCGTGCCTCTCCTCTGCCATGCTCTGCTGCACGCAACGCTGCCAGCCACGGATGCATGCTGCCCCCAACTGCATGTGGTGGTGTTGACCAACGGCCCCTTATCCGTGCTGCCTGCAGGTGGATGCCGTGGAACTACCTGGATGGCAGCCTCTCAGAATACCTCAAATACTTCTCTGCGCTCACCAACTTGAATGAACTGTGAGTGTCGCCGGGTTCATGTGAGTCTCTTCCCACGGATGTCCTTCTGTGGATGTCCCATGCTGAGTACCAGCTCGGAAACACATACTAGGTAACTGTTGGATTTGAGGGCGGCAGCTCAGGCCACATGATGGTGTTAACACCTTTAACTCTTTCCGATGTGCCTGTGTGTGTGCGTGTGCGTGCGTGTGTGCGTGCCTGTGTGCATGTGTGTGTGTGTGTGCTCCTCGTCCCTGGGCGTTCCTGATGTCTCTCGTCCGCCAGGGCCATGCAGTACATGTTCTTCTCCGGGACATTCCCCAGCCTGCTCACCTCTCTGCCCAGCCTCACCAGCCTGTAAGTATCGAGTGAACACACATTTTCTGTCTGTAAAGATCTCGGGCACAAGAGCAGCGCTGTGCAATCAAGGAGGAACACGTCAGTGACAGAGCAGTGCTTTTGTTGTCGTTGTTGTTGTTGGTTTTGTTTTTTTGTTTTGTTTTTGTTTTTGTTTAGCATGCAGAGAGCAATCCATCCACACTCTATCCAATCAACTCTTCCCAACAACGCGTGCTACCCTGCCTTATAGGTCGCTGCGCTTCAACTACCTGACGGGCTCGCTGCCAACGAGCATCACAAAGTTCAAGTCGCTGGACATCTATCAGAACTACTTCGTCGGCTCCATTCCCTCGGGCACCTGGTCCTACTGCGACGCCGGAAATAACTGCCTCACCAGCGTGGGCAACTGCCAGAGCTACTTCCAGAGGTCCTCGTGCGCTATTTGCGGCAGCACTGACGGCACCGGCACTCTGTGCGCAGCAGGGCAAGCGTGTTTGCCGAGCTCTGACGCGAAGATTGCAGCGGGTCAGAACAACTATAATGGCGAAGTGGCCCTGTCGTGCGTTGTCCAGCCCATCACCATGAACTCTGCTGACGGTCAGTGGCGCCTCCCTTCCTTCTCGTTCCCAATCGCACGCGCCTGACAGGAACACGCTCGCTTTCTGCCCCTCCTCTGTCCTCCGTGCACATATTCACTTCCCTGTGTGCACATATTCATGTCCCTGTGCGCACATATTCACTTCCCTGTGCGCACATATTCACTTCCCTGCGCGCACACATTCACTTCCCTGTGCGCACATATTCACTTCCCTGCGCTCACATATTCACTTCCCTGTGCGCACATATTCACTTCCCTGTGCTCACATATTCACTTCCCTGCGCGCACACATTCACTTCCCTGTGCGCACATATTCACTTCCCTGCGCTCACATATTCACTTCCCTGTGCGCACATATTCACTTCCCTGTGCTCACATATTCACTTCCCCGTACCGTGTTCCCAAGTGAACCCTTCCCTCCCCTCCGATTCCATCTCTCACCCCCCTTCCATTCCCTTTCCTCCCCCATCCGCCCATCAGCGGCGGCCATGCTGAGCATCAAGGCAGGCATGGGTCTCACGTTTGAGATTTCTTAAAAGCAATTCCAGCCAGTGAAGCCATGGGACTCACCAAAGTATCCTTCCCTCGTTGTTCCCTGTCTCGTGCGCCTCCGCTTTCCCCTGCCTGCCCTCCCCTACCCGCCCATCAGCTGCGGCCCTGCTGAGCATCAAGTCGGCTATGGGGCTCACATACACCACATGGGCCGCCACCAATCCGTGCACTCTTGACGGCACTACTGGCAAAGCGGGCGAGTGGGAGCGCGTGAGCTGCACGGCTTTCGGCCGCGCATACGTGATGTGAGTGCAGGCGGCCAGGGAGGGTGTGTGTGAGTGCAGGCGGCCAGGTAGGGTGTGTGTGAGTGCAGCGGCCAGGTAGGGTCTGTGTAGGCGCAAGGTATCGTGACCGAGTGGCCTAGGGCACAGGGTATTATATAGGCGGGCAGCATTTAGGCAGGAACGTTATAGGTGTGGGTGCAGGCGGCAAGGCCACAAGTCCAGTTAAACGGCCTCTCATGCGCTGCCCCACTGTTCCTTTGTCTCCCTCTCATGCACAATGCGCTGCCCCACCGTTCCTCTGTCTCCTGGCATGTGTGTGTGTGTGCGCGCAGAAACCTGGACTCCGCAGGACTCCAGCGCAAGAGCTTCCCCGCAGACATCTCCAAGCTCACGGGGCTTGGCGCGGTGTAAGTGCTCTCTGCGCGTGCCTCTCCTTTGCGTGTGCCTCTCCTCTGCGCGTGCCTCTCCTCTGCGCATGCCTCTCCTCTGTGCGTGCCTCTCCTCTGCGCGTTCCTCTTCTCTGCGCGTGTCTCTCCTCTGCGCGTGACTCTCCCCTGCGCGTGCCTCTCCTCTGCGCGTGCCTCTCCTCTGCCATGCTCTGCTGCACGCAACGCTGCCAGCCATGGATGCATGCTGCCCCCAACCGCATGTGGTGGTGTTGACGAACGGCCCCTTGTCCGTGCTGCGTGCAGGTGGATGCCGTGGAACTACCTGGACGGCAGCCTCTCAGAATACCTCAAATACTTCTCTGCGCTCACCAACTTGAATCAACTGTGAGTGTCGCCGGGTTCATGTGAGTCTCTTCCCACGCATGTCCTTCCGTGGATGTCCCATGCTGAGTACCAGCTCGGAAACACATACTAGGTAACTTTTGGATTTGAGGGCGGCAGCTCAGGCCACATGATGGTGTTAACGCCTTAACTGTTTCCGATGTGCCTTTGTGTGCGCGTGTGCGTGCCTGTGTGTGTGCGTGTGCGTGCGTGTGTGCGTGCCTGTGTGCATGTGTGTGTGTGTGCTCCTCGTCCCCGGGTGTCCCTGATGTCTCTCGTCCGCCAGGGCCATGCAGTACATGTTCTTCTCCGGCACATTCCCCAGCCTGCTCACCTCTCTGCCCAGCCTCACCAGCCTGTAAGTATCGAGTGAACACACATTTTCTGTCTGTAAAGATCTCGGGCACAAGAGCAGCGCTGTGCTATCAAGGAGGAACACGTCAGAGCAGTGCTTTTGTTGTCGTTGTTGTTGTTGGTTTTTTTTTGTTTTTGTTTTTGTTTTTGTTTAGCATGCAGAGAGCAATCCATCCACACTCTATCCAATCATCTCTTCCCAACAACGCGTGCTACCCTGCCTCACAGGTCGCTGCGCTTCAACTACCTGACGGGCTCGCTGCCAACGAGCATCACAAAGATCAAGTCGCTGGACATCTATCAGAACTACTTCGTCGGCTCCATTCCCTCGGGCACCTGGTCCTACTGCGATGCCGGAAATAACTGCCTCATCAGCGTGGGCAACTGCCAGAGCAACTTCCAGAGGTCCTCGTGCGCTATTTGCGGCAGCACTGACGGCACCGGCACTCTGTGCGCAGTGGGGCAAGCGTGTGTGCCGAGCTCTGACGCGAAGATTGCAGCGGGTCAGAAAAACTAAAATGGCGAAGTGGCCCTGTCGTGCGTTGTCCAGCCCATCACCATGAACTCTGCTGACGGTCAGTGGCGCCTCCCTCCCTTCTCGTTCCCAATCGCACACGCCTGACATGAACACGCTCGCTTTCTGCCCCTCCTCTGTCCTCCGCGCACATATTCACTTCCCTGTGCGCACATATTCACTTCCCTGTTCTCACATATTGACTTCCCTGTGCGCACATATTCACTTCCCTGTGCTCACATATTCACTTCCCTGTGCTCACATATTCACTTCCCCGAACCATTTTCCCAAGTGAACCCTTCCCTCCCCTCCGATTCCATCTCTCACCCCCCTTCCATTCCCTTTCCTCCTCCATCCGCCCATCAGCGGCGGCCATGCTGAGCATCAAGGCAGCCATAGGTCTCACGTTTGAGATTTCTAAAAAGCAATTCCAGCCAGTGCAGCCATGGGACTCACCAAAGTGTCCTTCCCTCGTTGTTCCCTGTCTCGTGCACCTCCGCTTTCCCCTGCCTGCCCTCCCCTACCCGCCCATCAGCTGCGGCCCTGCTGAGCATCAAGTCGGCTATGGGGCTCACATACACCACGTGGGCCGCCACCAATCCGTGCACTCTTGACGGCACTACTGGCAAAGCGGGGGAGTGGGAGCGCGTGAGGTGCACGGTTTTCGGCCGCGCATACGTGATGTGAGTGCAGGCGGCAAGGGAGGGTGTGTGTGAGTGCAGGCGGCCAGGTAGGGTGTGTGTAGGCGCAAGGTATCGTGACCGAGTGGCCTAGGGCACATGGTATTATATAGGCGGGCGGCATTTAGGCAGGAACGTTATAGGTGTGGGTGCAGGCGGCAAGGCCACAAGTCCAGTTAAACGGCCTCTCATGCGCTGCCCCACCGTACCTTTGTCTCCCTCTCATGCACAATGCGCTGCCCCACCGTTCCTCTGTCTCCCGGCATGTGTGTGTGTGTGCGCGCAGAAACCTGGACTCCGCAGGACTCCAGCGCAAGAGCTTCCCCGCAGACATCTCCATGCTCACGGGGCTTGGCGTGGTGTAAGTGCTCTCTGCCCGTGCCTCTCCTCTGCGCGTGCCTCTCCTCTGTGCGTGCCTCTCCTCTGCGCGTGCCTCTCCTCTGCGCGCGCCTCTCCTCTGCGCGTGCCTCTCCTTTGCGTGTGCCTCTCCTCTGCGCGTGCCTCTCCTCTGCGCGTGCCTCTCGTCTGCCATGCTCTGCTGCACACAACGCTGCCAGCCATGGATGCATGCTGCCCCCAACCGCATGTGGTGGTGTTGACCAACGGCCCCTTGTCCGTGCTGCGTGCAGGTGGATGCCGTGGAACTACCTGGATGGCAGCCTCTCAGAATACCTCAAATACTTCTCTGCGCTCACCAACTTGAATCAACTGTGAGTGTCACCGGGTTCATGTGAGTCTCTTCCCACGGATGTCCTTCCGTGGATGTCCCATGCTGAGTACCAGCTCGGAAACACATACTAGGTAACTGTTGGATTTGAGGGCGGCAGCTCAGGCCACATGATGGTGTTAACGCCTTAACTCTTTCCGATGTGCCTGTGTGTGCCTGTGTGTGTGTGTGTGTGTGTGTGTGTGTGTGTGTGTGTGTGTGTGTGTATGTGTGTGTGTGTGTGTGTGTGTGTGTGTGTGTGTGTGTGTGTGTGTGTGTGTGTGTGTGTGTGTGTGTGTGTGTGTGTGTGTGTGTGTGTGTGTGTGTGTGTGTGTGTGTGTGTGTGTGTGTGTGTGTGTGTGTGTGTGTGTGTGTGTGTGTGTGTGTGTGTGTGTGTGTGTGTGTGTGTGTGTGTGTGTGTGTGTGTGTGTGTGTGCGTGTGCGTATGCGTGCGTGTGTGCATGTGTGTGTGTGTGCTCCTCGTCCCTGGGTGTCCCTGATGTCTGTCGTCCACCAGGGCCATGCAGTACATGTTCTTCTCTGGGACATTCCCCAGCCTGCTCACCTCTCTTCCCAGCCTCACCAGCCTGTAAGTATCGAGTGAACACACATTTTCTATCTGTGAAGATCTCGGGCACAAGAGCAGTGCTGTGCTATCATGGAAGAACACGTCAGTGACAGAGCAGTGCTTTTGTTGTCGTTATTTTTTTTTTGTGTTTTTTTTTTTTTTGTGTTTTTTTTTTTTCTTGTGTGTTTTTGTTCTGTTTTTGTTTTTTTAGCATGCTGCGAGCAATCCATCCACACTCTATCCAATCAACTCTTCACAACAACGCGTGCTACCCTGCCTCACAGATCACTGCGCTTCAACTACCTGACCGGCTCGCTGCCAACGAGCATCACAGAGATCAAGTCGCTGGACATCAATCAGAACTACTTCGTCGGCTCCGTTCCCTCGGGCACTTGGTTCTACTGCAACGCCGGAAATAACTGCCTCGCTAGCGTGGGCAACTGCCAGAGCTACTTCCAGAGGTCCTCGTGCGCTATTTGCGGCAGCACTGACGGCACCGGCACTCTGTGCGCAGGGGGGCAAGCGTGTGTGCCGAGCTCTGACGCGAAGATTGCAGCGGGTCAGAAAAACTATAATGGCGAAGTGGCCCTGTCGTGCGTTGTCCAGCCCATCACCATGAACTCTGCTGACGGTCAGTGGCGCCTCCCTTCCTTCTCGTTCCCAATCGCACGCGCCTGACATGAACACGCTCGCTTTCTGCCCCTCCTCTGTCCTCCGCGCACATATTCACTTCCCTGTGCGCACATATTCACTTTTCGGTGCTCACATATTCACTTCCCTGCGCGCACATATTCACTTCCCTGTGCTCACATATTCACTTCCCTGTGCGCACATATTCACTTCCCTGTGCTCACATGTTCCCTCCCCTCCCCTCCCAAGTGAACCCCCCTTCCATTCCCTTTCCTCCTCCATCCGCCCATCAGTGGCGGCCATGCTGAGCATCAAGGCAGCCATGGGACTCACCAAATTGTCCTTCCCTCGTTGTTCCCTGTCTCGTGCGCCTCCGCTTTCCCCTGCCTGCCCTCCCCTACCCGCCCATCAGCTGCGGCCCTGCTGAGCATCAAGTCGGCTATGGGGCTCACATACACCACATGGGCCGCCACCAATCCGTGCACTCTTGACGGCACTACTGGCAAAGCGGGCGAGTGGGAGCGCGTGAGCTGCACGGCTTTCGGCCGCGCATACGTGATGTGAGTGCAGGCGGCCAGGGAGGGTGTGTGTGAGTGCAGGCGGCCAGGTAGGGTGTGTGTAGGCGCAAGGTATCGTGACCGAGTGGCCTAGGGCACAGGGTATTATATAGGCGGGCAGCATTTAGGCAGGAACGTTATAGGTGTGGGTGCAGGCGGCAAGGCCGCAAGTCCAGTTAAACGGCCTCTCATGCGCTGCCCCACCGTTCCTTTGTCTCCCTCTCATGCACAATGCGCTGCCCCACCGTTCCTCTGTCTCCCGGCATGTGTGTGTGTGTGCGCGCAGAAACCTGGACTCCGCAGGACTCCAGCGCAAGAGCTTCCCCGCAAACATCTCCAAGCTCACAGGGCTTGGCTCGGTGTAAGTGCTCTCTGCGCGTGCCTCTCCTCTGCGCGTGGCTCTCCTCTGCGCGTGCCTCTCCTCTGCCATGCTCTGCTGCACGCAACGCTGCCAGCCATGGATGCATGCTGCCCCCAACCGCATGTGGTGGTGTTGACCAATGGCCCCTTGTCCGTGCTGCGTGCAGGTGGATGCCGTGGAACTACCTGGATGGCAACCTCGCAGAATACCTCAAATACTTCTCTGCGCTCACCAACTTGAATCAACTGTGAGTGTCGCCGGGTTCATGTGAGTCTCTTCCCACGGATGTCCTTGCGTGGATGTCCCATGCTGAGTACCAGCTCGGAAACACATACTAGGTAACTGTTGGATTTGAGGGCGGCAGCTCAGGCCACATGATGGTGTTAACGCCTTAACTCTTTCCGATGTGCCTGTGTGTGCGCGTGTGCGTGCGTGTGTGCGTGCCTGTGTGCATGTGTGTGTGTGTGCTCCTCGTCCCTGGGTGTTCCTGATGTCTCTCGTCTGCCAGGGCCATGCAGTACATGTTTTTCTCCGGGACATTCCCCAGCCTGCTCACCTCTCTGCCCAGCCTCACCAGCCTGTAAGTATCGAGTGAACACACATTTTCTATCTGTGAAGATCTCGGGCACAAGAGCAGTGCCGTGCAATCAAGGAGGAACATGTCAGTGACAGAGCAGTGTTTTTGTTGTCGTTGTTGGTTTTTTGTTTTGTTTTTTTTTTTGCTTTTTTGTTATGTTTTTGTTTTTTCTTAGCATGCAGCGAGCAATCCATCCACACTCTATCCAATGAACTCTTCCCAACAACGCGTGCTCCCCTGCCTCACAGGTCGCTGCGCTTTAACTATCTGACGGGCTCGCTGCCAACGAGCATCACAAAGATCAAGTCGCTGGACATCTATCAGAACTACTTCGTCGGCTCCATTCCCTCGGGCACCTGGTCCTACTGCGACGCCGGAAATAACTGCCTCGCCAGCGCGGGCAACTGCCAGAGCTACTTCCAGAGGTCCTCTTGCGCTATTTGCGGCAGCACTGCCGGCACCGGCACTCTGTG